GACTCGCCGTCAGCTGTGCACTCACTCGCTGACCGCTCTCTCACCTCATCCCCATTGATAACGACCTGAGGACCCTCCTCCCCCGCAACCTTGAGCATGGCTTTCTTCAGCTGAGCTGGGTCCACCTGGAATTTGTTGAAGTACGTTCTCGTGTCGAAAGCATTGAGGTAAGGGCTGGTTGACGCCAGTTGTTCTGGGAAAAGGTCCCGTATGACGGGAACCTTCTGATTCAGGTACTGATCCATATCCGTCTGCTTGATTCCAAAGGCGTCACGCAGAGCTTCAAAGAGCCCAGGTGAATCTACGGTGAGCCTTTCGAGCCCCAGCGCCGCTCTGATTATGTTCCGAAAGCGAGAGTAGTGCTTGGATTCCGGAGGAACCCAGTCGTCCGGGCTGAAAGAACACCTGATGTGAACGTGACGATCCATGGCGAATGCTGGAGACTTCAGGGTTTGAAAATGAGCTGAATGCAAGCGGAATGAGCCTTAAGTAGATGTAGTCTTCGACAAAGAGTCCTACAGTCTTCCTACATGCGCGCACAGCCCGCGGTCTTACCCTTGGTAACTTTGTTGACGTCTTGTCAACCTCTGCATGCACGACAATCGTGACAGGTTTGCACTGCTGACGTAAACATTTCACTACCGAGTAACCGTACGCGATATCGACGGTCTGTAAAGTCGGCAAATGAAAAATTATCGAATCGACGGTTGCATGCAAAAACCTATTAAATTATACGTCAACGTGCGGTCATGATAACCTGGTACGGTCGGACCACACCTACCTGTGGCGTATCAGTACCTACCGAACTGTACACTGTGAATGGAGCAGAGCGATCGTCGCAGGTGGACATTTGAGCTGACGTCAACTCATTTTGCCCTTGTCTGCCTCATAAAAGCGGCTGAAGTGTATTTTTGAGCTATTCCAATTCTCAGAGTGGGTTCCTTCAGCAGTTCCGCTTCCGACTCAGCTTTCGTTCAATCCCAGGCAGCTTGCCCCCAACTTTAACGAGGGCACATGGAGGGCTACATGCTTCATTGGCAAGAAACCTCACTCAAGGCAGGGGACTGTGCTGATTTCTTAGTGGCTTCTGATAGGAGACTTCCAAGGTGCTCACAGCTGCTTAACTTTTTGGAGCGAAGCTACTTTCATGAATATAAAATGCCGTTCTCGTCTGATGATGGAGCGGCCCCTTGGAGAGAGCTGGAAGCTGCACTGCGTGCCTTTGCTGTAGAAAATCCCACTGGTTACATGGAGCTCCAGATAGCGCGTATTACAGAAGCGGTCGGTAGTCTGTTCTCCAAGCTGTTGGATAAAGAGTCGAGCTTCAGGTTCTATATATCCGTCTCTAACAGCTCTGAGAGCATCATCGAGGATTACCAGAACGAATTCCGCTTCCTGGTGGAATTCAAGACCGCCATGTTGATCTATAAGGCTGAATTGGAGACGTGCTACACAGCTTTCAGGAGAGCCCAGGCGCGCCGAGACCGATCGGCGCAGTGTCAGCCGAGACCCTCTCCTGTCGACCTCGCTCGAAAGCTGGCCTGGAACCCTGGCGCGGGCTACGAGCCGGTGAGTACTGTTGTCAGGACCCCCTACAGACTGAGCCTAGTCAGCTTTCCCTGCACGGTTCACTTCTCCTCATGAAATCTCCGCGGTTCGTTACAATGCCAGCTTGGTAACAGTCGATACACCTAACCAGATTCTTACAGTCGACTCTGAATGCTGATGAGTGCAATACGGAGTAGGTGGCAACACAGAGCACGTCGAGCTAGATGCTGAGAGCTCTGTGCGTCTTTTTCAGATCGTCGTTACTTGGGAGACCCTGGACAAGGAGGCACCAAAGCAAGGGCGAGGCTTCCGACCCTGGACGAAAATCAACCTGTGGGCTATCCATCAGCTCGAGAAGGTAAAGCTCGAGACCGTTGTCTGACGCGTGGGTTGAAACGACTGAGTCTCGCACTCCCGTTTTCGGCGTTTGTGACATGCGTTCGCTTTTAGGTCTTGAATTGGACGAGAGCTGCTCCCGAGTGGTGAACCGGCACGTCTTCTCGCAGGTATACGGCGTCCCTCCGAAGCGAACCGGGGCTGACTTCATGACCGTTTTCTACTATTTCGACAAGGCTGCCTACACTCACGAGCAGGCGATCGTGGAAGGAGGTGGAACGCCGGGCAGAGGGAAGGCTAGGGCCGTCTACGTCCTGGTAGATACTCTCGAGGGGCGGCGTCGGTTGAGGAAGATCTGCTCGTGTAGGCAGTCTTCTACTATCAGAAAGACTTTGGGGCACTTTAGCAGGAGGTTGTAAACGGCCGTTTATCGGTTCCGGACGTCTCTCATCCATGGATGCGTCAGGGCCTGAGCGGCCGTCAGTCTTCCTCGCACATCCCGCGTCAGTAACTTTTCTATAAAGTCCCTGGCCTCTGCCGTTATTTCCACCTCCTCCAGATTCGGCTTTTCGTCTAGGACCGACCTGAATACCTCCGATTGCGTGCGGCCATAGAACGGCCGGGCTCCTACCAGCATGATGTACGTCATGACGCCTATACTCCACTCGTCCGCCTTTAGGTCGTATGCCTTCTTCAGTACCTCCGGCGCGACGAAGTAAGGGCTCCCCACGATGTCACTGAGCACGTCCCCTTCTCGGCAGTAGTCGGAGAGGCCAAAGTCGATGGTCTTGAGGATCGAGTTCTTGTCCTCCGATGCAAAGAGAAAGTTCTCGGGCTTGATGTCCCTGTGAATGACGCCGCGCCTGTGCATGTATGCGACTGCGCTGAGGATCTGCCACACCAAGGGCACCGCGCTCTCCTCCGAGCACCGCCCTCCGGCGTCCAGGATCCTGTCCGACAGGTCCCCGCCCGCGCACAGCTCCATGATTATATATACGTTAATGGCGTCCTCGTAGGCGTCTATGAACTCGACCACGTTCTCATTGCGCTGGAGCACGCGCAGGATTTCCACCTCTCGAACCACGTCGTCGATCTCGACCTGGCTCGACATCCGGCGCTTGGGAATGACCTTCACGGCCACTCGCTTGCCGTCCCCATCTCCCACCTTCCTGGCAAAGGCCACGTGGGTGCGTCCGAAGCTCCCGCTCCCGATCTCCTCTGCCAGTTGGAACGCCCTGTGAAAGTGTGGTTTGAAGTCGAACGTCCTGTGCTCGAGGCTCGGTGGCCTCTTCTGCTGAACCGGAACCTTTGGCTCGTCCGCCCTCGAAAAGCATTGTCCCATGAGACGCCTTCATGGTTGTCGTGAGAAAAACAATGACCACCATGAAGGTTGTCGAGATTTTCGGTGATGATCTCCGTACAAGCGAGCCCTCGTTCCCCACACATTGTCATCCATATATGTCAAGAAAGCGAGCATGAGACCCAGTAGATTGCTCTCGCTCTCGAGAAAACCGATGGGAGTGGAGGCCCTCGACGTCAGGAGCCGCGTCAGGGAGCTTCGCGAACTGGCTGCTTCCGAGGAAGACACCTCGCCCGAGATGGCGGGCATCGTCCGGTTCTTGGTGCAGACCGAGCTGCTGCTCATGATCTCCGCTTGCGAGGACGCTCCTTACAAGGCGGCATTCGTGGTGGATCTGGAGAAGCGCTCCGACACGGCGGAGGCGCTCACCGAGAAGCTCATGCGAGCGAGCACGAGAGACGCCCGCGTCTGCATCGCATCTCCCGGAACTCTCCTCCTGTCCCTCAAGGCCCCCGGGGCCTCCATGCTGATGTGCTATCACCTTGACGAAGCCGACCTGCCTGCGTCCGCTTGAATGACTCGATCTGCCACTGGTTCAGGCGGGCGCACTCGTCGATGAGCGCCGGGATGAGTCGGTCACGGCACTCGGCGCGGCCTATCAAGTAGTCGGGGAGTACGATCGCGCCGTCGCGCCTTCCCATGGCCGCGAGCCGATGTGCCACCTCGTTGCCAGGGACCCCGGAGTGGCCCTTGACTTTGAACAGCAGCGTCTCCTCACTCTCCGCCAGTAGCCAGCGCGAGCATCCGACCAGGACGGCGAAGCGCGGGTCGAGCGTGCCCTTGCGGATCAGATCGATGCTCGTCTGGCTGTCCGTAAAGACTGCAGTCTTCCCGCTCCCTCTAGAATGGAGGAGCGCGACGAAGATGGCGGCGAGCTCTGCGTGGTTGCTGTCCGGGCGGCGGTCTGGGCGGCGGACGAGGCTGTACTTCTCGAACTCCTGCCGCGTATGATAGTTGATTCCGATGCCCGCTCGATCCACCTTCAGACTCGCGTCGACGAAGATGTCTTGGAGGCGCGGCGTCGAGAGAGGCGATGCGCGCCAGCATGCTGAGATCGGAGGCATGTCGAGTCCCCTCTGACGGTAGCGTCGAGAACGAGAGGGGTCGGCGGGACGCAGAGGGGTCGTGGCTTTTTCTCCGCCTACTCGTACCGTTGCGAGCGTCGATGAGAGTGAACGCGCTGGCTTGCCTCGCGACCTTGGCGCTCCTCGCCGGGACCACCCAGGGAAGCCTCCTCGCCGCGTTGAACAGGGACCAGGTGCGCGCCGTTCCGGACGGCCTCGTCTCGAAGCTCGTCGGTGCCGGTGCATTCCGGGGCCTAGCCGTGCACTCTACTGCCGACTGCCTATTCCTGAGGCCGGAATCGAACGTCAGCGTCTCGCTCGTGATACCGAACGACTACATAGAGCAGTTCTCGGAGCTGCCGTCCCCGGCCTTGTACGAGTGGGTCGAGAAGGAGGTGAAGACGCCCCTGGCTCGAGGGTTCCGAATCGATGCGGTCCAGCTGGGCGAGGCGCCGCTGTCGGAGGAGTACGGGGCGCGATTTTACGAATCCATGCCGGCCGCCCTCAGGAACTTGGCGAGCCTGGTGAACCCCCTCGGGATCAGCGTGACCGTATCGGTCAGCTTGACGGACCTCTCGGTTTCTTATCCGCCGTCTGCGGGAGCCTTCTCCCCGAGCGTCGCCCGGGTGCTCGCCGAGGCGCTGCCCTCCGCAGGAGCCCTCTCCTTGGAAGCGTACCCGTTCCTCCTCGCCCTGGATGCCGACGATCCCGCCACCTTCTCCTTTCTGGCGATGGAACCGGATGCGCAGGGGTTCTGGGACGACGGGGGAGGCCTGTGGTACCCCGATGTCCTCTCTTCGCTCCACGACGCGGCCGTCTATGCTCTGGAAGCGCTCGGATTCGGCGACGAAACCGTGATCCTCACCACGGGCTGGCCGACCGACGGCGTCGAGCGAGCCACTCCCGAGCTGGCGGGAAACTTTCTGGCAGGAGTGGCGCGCTGGGCCGGAGCCGAAGCCGGGACGCCCAAGCGGCCCGGGGCGGAGAACTCAGCCGTCTATCGCCAGCTCGTGGACTCAGACGCCGCTGCTCTCACGGAGGACGCGCCGTGGGCGAGACGGTGGGGCATCTACGACTCCAGGGCCCGCTCGAAACTGAACGGCAGTATGGTGGGCACGTACGCCCTGGTGCGCGACGTCGATTACGAAGCTACCGCCCGCAAGTTCTGTGTCGCGCGGAGCGATGCCACGGACGCAACCCTGATCGCCGCCCTGTCGTTCGCTTGCAACGCCACGGACTGCACGTCCATACAACAGCACGCTTCCTGCTACTCGCCGCCCAACCTCAGGAGACACGCTTCCCTCGCCTTCAATGGCTACTTTCAGGACGGAGAGCAAGACGCGTCCAAATGTCGCTTCGGAGGCGTCGCCAGGACGGTCGACGACGACCCCGACCGGTCGAACCCCGAGTGCGGCCTCGAGACCGGCATACGGCTGGTCGAGACCTCGGGTTCTGCGAGCCTGGTCGTCGACCTCGTCGGGGCGGCCATTCTCATGGGCATCCTCTCCAATCTCTGAAATTAGATACTACTGGTGTGGGCTTACAATAACCGACCCACATATATACTCGAAACAATGCGTTTTACTGCCTTACTCACCAGTTTTCGCGACTACACAGTTCCAAATTGGTCAATCATGACACACACAAGCAAGTCTGCATGTGCGAAACGTCACGAATGCGGGAGAGCGCATGATGCGTGCATGGCTGTATCCCAAAATGGCGTCTTCGTCGAGCGAAAGAAAGAACGAAGAAATTTTTCCGTCACCCGCATATATGTTCAGCTTGTTTGATGATCGGAGAGCACCCCCGAACCGTTAACGAGGCGCAGCTAATCTCAAACCGGGCTGAACCCAAACGCTAAAGCTCTACGTACTAATAAAACGTCAAAACTCCTATTAGACTGGATGATGCTAGGCGTCAATTCTAAGATCCCTGATTACGCTGTTCTTACACATCCAACCGTACAGTGCGCGCTCCCTGTCCTCGATCTTACTGCAGCCCACGTGCACTCGGAAGAACTCGTGAATCCGTACCACTTCGATGAGCTCAGCGAGTTCGCCCCCGTGTTGGACGTACGACCGGCACGCGTCCAATGTATGCGCGTCGCCGTGTATCTTGCCGGCGAGGAACTCGTTGAGGGCGGCGTGCCTCAAGAGTTTTCCCAGCAGAGCGCCCTCGCCCGTCCGACCGTTGCGCACGTACTCCGCCGCGTCGTCCTGGGCTAGCGGGATGCTCGGCCAAGAGAGCCCGAGTGTCTGCATGGCGTCGTTGAGGTGGTCCATCCTGTCATTGATCTTTGCGACGATCTGGACGGAAGCTGTCATCGCGCCCATATCAGCCTAGTGACAGCCGAGCGAGGAGCGAGATGATGCGTGGACACTCGCCACCCTTCATTATCTTTGCCGGAAAATGAAGGGTGGACTCTGTTTACGCAGAAAGCCCGATGAGACTCTTCGCAGAAGAGTCGGGCTGCTTCGACAGGTCCGACGGACACTTCGTCGTAGAGTCTGGTCCGTCCGATGGATCAATCACTGGACAAACCTAGACACTCAGGTCCTTCGTTCGTCCAGGCTAAGCACGATATATCTACCGTGGCTCCATCTCGCATTGCCCCCCTCGAGGGGGGTCTTCCCGCATGGCTCTAAGTAGCACATTGCGAGCACCATTACAGTCCCTGTCTAGTACTACACCACACCTCGGGCACTCGAACACTCTCCTCCCTCCCAGCATCTCGTGCATGTGACCGCACCTCCCGCACGTCTTGCTCGTGTAGTGTTCGCTGACCTCCATGACTCTCACCCCCCGTACGGCGGCCTTGGCTTTCAGCCGCTGTTTGAACTTGTAGTGCGACAGGAGTGACAGATTCCGCACCGTCCTGCTCCGTATCCGTCTGGTCGTTCTTCGAGTCATGTTTCTAGTATCGAAGGTGGGAGGGAGGATGATGTTTGCCGTCCTCGTCAAGTATTCCGCGGTCTTGTAGTGCAGCTCGTTTCTCAGGTCCCGCAACCGCCGCCGCAACTTTTTCATCTGCGTCCTCAGTGCCCACTTCGTCCTCCGCAATCGATTGGGCACGGAGCTCTCCCTCGATATCAGCCTGTCCAGGTGGACGCAGAGGGCCTCCAGCTTCCTACAACACCCCTTGCCCAGCTCGTAGCAGTTTCCCTTGGGTGTGTAGGCGGTCTGAAACGTCCTCACTCCCGGATCTAGCGCGACCACACCCTCCCTTCGCGGTGGGACTACATGTCTCTCGTACGGCACGATCAGGAAGTACTTGACCCCGTCGTATTGGATCTTGCAGTCCATTGCGAGCGGTCCAATACGGGACAGCGTCTCGAACACCCACGGACAGTAGTCTCCGAACACCTGCAAGCGGCGGAACCCCCGCACTCTCAGCGCGCTCTTGGGTACGTCTATCGTCCAGCCGTGCCCGTCTTCCTTCTTCCTGCCCTTGTAACCCATACTGAAGTGCTCGATGTTGTTCCTGGTGAGGATCGTGATCGCCGCCTTCACGTTCTTGGCGGCCTCGAACACGGCTCCCGCTCGGATGTCTTTCGGGGTCTCGAGGAGCCATGGTTTGTCCCTGTTGACTTCCGCGGGTGTGATGAGGTTCCGGAGGTACAGCTTGTTGTAGCTGGCCGTTTCGTTCATGAGGAACACCGCTTTATTGTAGCTGTATCGCGCGGCGTGTCTCCACCGATCCAGGAGCTTCTTCTGTGCCTTGTTCGGTAGCAGGCGGATCTTCCTGGTTCTTATCACCGGCGCGTCTGTTGGCATATCTTCGCTTGCCGTTCCATCGACGACCGAAAACTCGAATGGTGGCGAGCACGTCCTCTGCCAGCTCCGCCTCCGGTGACTTATCTGCCTTGTCGCAAACCACGAGCTCGACACCGTGTCTCTTGAATTGCCAAGCGAGGAGATCGAAGCCGAAACGACACAGCCTGTCCTTCGAGGCAACCACAACTCGGCGTAGCTGTCCCTCCTCACTTCGTTCCAGAAGGGATAGAAGTCCCGCTCTCTTGAAGTTGAGGCCCGAGCCGATGTCCCTGACAACTTTGGATCCGGGATGTTGGTCAAGTAGATACGCCTCCTGGCGTCGCATGTCGTCCTGTTGCTTGCCGCTCGAGACCCGAACGTAGACGACCGACTCCCTCCTTGGCTCGGCCTGAGCCAGCGGGTCGTCGATGAGGAAGAGTCGCCTGCCCCCTGGGCTCCTCTTGACTGTGACTTTGCCAGATGCCTCCCATCGGTATAGAGTCTTCCCCGAGACGCCAAAGTGGTGCCTTGCGCCCGAGAGAGAGACATACCCCATGCCTTCCTTGGTGTACCCCTTTGGGAATTTTCGGGGGCACTGTGCGTTCTGCTTTGGTACGTCGTGTCCACTCATTATCCTATGAAACATGCCACAGTTGTAAGCTTTACACTCTTGTACGATTATCATCAAGGGAAAAACACAGAGACTCCACACGAGACGCTATAATTTGCTGACGTGGCACATGGGGGATCCCCCCGTATAAGGCGACCCACCCGTACCACCCCGTAAGACGCAAGACACAAAGACGCATTTCTGGGGACGGTCCCAGGATCCTGAAGTTTCCCGCGATTCCGTCCCCAGATCTCAGAAAGTTTCCAAAAAATGCGTCTTGCTGTCTTACTGTCTCGTACCACTTATCACTAGGGGATCCACTAAGAGGAAAAAACATCGGGTTCCACCACAAGACGCTTTATTCTGCTGACGTGGCACCAACCCACCCATAACCCCTCGTAAAGACGCAAGACACAAAGACGCATTTCTGGGGACGGTCCCAGGATCCTGAAGTTCCGAGATCCCGTCTCCGGATCTCAGAAACTTTCTAAAAAATGCGTCTTACTGTCTTACCGTCTTGTACAAATTCTCACGAAGGGATTAATCAAGGAAAAAACACAGAGATTTCTCCACGAGACGCTATATTCTGCTGACGCGACATTCGGTTTTGTCGTGGTCAGTCCGTACTGATGCTCCTTGCGGCGACCGATATAAGGAAGCTACCGTCGCTTTCTCGTCGACGAACTTCCGAGGGAGACATCATGTGGCTCCCTCACTCCGAATCAGATGCACCGCGCGACTTGCCCGCTCTATGCGACCCTCTGCCGGACCCGCCAGGAGTCTCTGGCATCGCGGATCGAAGGCCGAGGAGAAGGGAGCGAGAAGAGCGAAACGACGTCTCCTCTTGGGCGCTTCAGCTGGGACTTTCGAAGTCGGTCGCCGACGCCGCCTGCGACTATCTGGCCGGGTGGCTGTCGCAGCGCGTTCAGAGGGGCGGTGCCAGGCGGGGGGCGGTAGTTGCGGCCTCGTTCTATGCCTGCAAGGCCGGTGGTATGCCGATGACGTCCTCGGAGCTCGCGCGGGCGACGGGGGTGCCGTCGAGATCGATAAAAGCGGCCTGCAAGCGGATGGCGAGTTTCGTAGAGGGACGCCGTGCGGGGGGCTACAGGGGGCGACCCGTCCGGCTGGGAGACATCCTGCCCCGCTGCTGCGAGCGGATCATGGTAGGGCGGGACGTCGCCGCGACGAAGAGTCTCCTCTTGGAATGCATACAGCTGTGCGCCGACTTGAACGGGGTCGTAGCACTGCAAGGGAGGACGCCAGCGTCGCTCGCTGTAGCAGCGATCTGGAGCGTAGCCAAGAGGAGAGGCTTGAGCCTGAGCAAGAAGCAGATCAGTCTGGGCTGCGAGGTCTCTGTCGCTACTCTAGACAGGTGTTTGGTCATCTTGGAGGGTGCGGCCGGGGGCACCCCCCAGTGGATCTGCCTGACCTTCGGGTTGTAGTAGTCATGCGAGACGAGTCCTGGTGAAGGATAGCTGGTGTAGCTGAGCATAGCTACTGACTTTCGAGTAGGGGCGATTTTCGTAAACTGCCGTACGGCCGAACTTTAATTCGACCGGTAGGTACCAGGTACCCGGGCCGTTGAGTCAGACTACTCGTAGACGAGTAGGGAGGTAGTACTTGTGCACTACTTCCCTGCCAGTATACTGCCTAGCCTAGTCCGAAATGCGAATTCGGGTCTCATCGTACGAAGCTGCACGGGCCCGGGGTCTTTTTACGTTCCATTTTTGGACCGGGGTACGGCGAAAATTAATAAGGTTAAAAATCGCGGACCGGGACTCTTCGCAGACAAGTCCACGAATGACCTTAGGAATTCGACCGTGAGAATCCTTGTTT